ATCAAATACTAAAGTTACATCACAAATTGTGTACTTGCCTACTAAATAGCAGGCTAAAATGTATATTCAAGAGAAGTAGTATGTCCCAATTCTTAGTATGCCAAAATACAGTATGTTTGCAGGTACTACCCAGATGGCCTGCATAACTTTGTGGTATGAAAGTGACGGACACAATACTTTCCCATCATCAGGTGTCTCTATATTTTTGTTCTCCTGAGCTTGTTTCCAACATTAGATGAAGTAAGAAAAGCAAACAATGTGTTCATTTTTTAAAAGTTATGAATACCAGTTTGGCCAAATCCTAAAGGCTGTTATGTGATCAACATTGAGAGTACTCATTTGGAGTACCTGAAAAAAAAAATATAATTTGAAAAATCTCAAAACCTTACACAAAAATCAGATTTAAGAGCTAGGAAGGAAGCAGAGGTTTCTTCATGCTCCTTTCCTTTAGTCTCCACCCAGCTTTCACAAATTAGATAATCAGTTACTTCAAACAGCTTAAATAACTGCCAGTATTTACGCAGTGTACACACACACACACACACACACACACACACACACACACACACACACACACACCTCATTACATGGTGCCATATTTATTTTGCTGAGAGAGTCCTGCTTCTGTAGTCTGCTTTACAAAAAGAGGGCAGTCCTTCCTGCTGCACTGTTTAATTGAAGGAACAGACTCTCTCCCTGCTTTAATTACAAGCCATCAAGCCAGTGGAGGAAAACCCTGAGATATGGCTACTTTCTCTCTGCAAAGACAACCAATTATGGGAGTAAATTGGAATAGCTGGGTTGAAATGTTTGTTGGTTCTGCACAGTGGGGAGACCCAGTAAACCGTTGTTGCCATTTATTTTGTCTTTCAAAACTGTACTTTTGACAAAAAACAGATCAAATCCTGCACATTGCTCATCTGTTTTTCCGTTTTTCCCCAATTCGTTTCATTCTTTCCATTATTTTTTGTTTTTGCCTGCAGCATTGATTACTTGATCCTATGCACCTGCAAAAAGACAACATGGTATGCAAGAACTTTGATGTAAAACTCTACTTCTTTAATGGGAACAGGCACTGTTAGCTGTACGTATAAGTTTCATTGTCTGTAATATCTTGTACTTCATAAAATAAGAAAAAATATATATAAAATATGAAAAGCTGTGTGTCATTTTAATCATACTGTGCTTAGCATTAGCATTAGCATAATCAACACCCCAGTATCTGTATACAAGGCTATATTATTCAAGTTTGTTGGCAAGTGACATTGGCAAAAATGTTACCAAAGAGTAAAAAGAACAACATTGCAGGGAGCTCCCTAGGTTGTCATATGGCTTAGACGCATAATACCTCCGGCCGTGGCTATTGCTGGCGCAGGAGCGTTATATTTTCTGGTTGTCCATCTGTTCATACAATTCCTGTTAATGTGATGTGTCAGCAACGCCTTGAGGGAATTTCTTCAGATTTGGTGCAAATGTTCACTTGGACCCAAAGAAGAACTGATTAGATTTTGGTGGTCAAAGGTCAAGGTCAGTGACCTTGCTTCTATCCCATACCAGTGAATTTGACTGGTTGGCAGAGGCATACAAACAGTCTTTGATATTTTTTGATATTCTTTTTTTTTTGTGATCAAGTCACTTTTCCATTACTTTTCTGCACATATTATTCACCATTGTTTTTACACTCATTCTGATATGTTGCCTTTTTACATTTATTCGACTTAGAAGCTCCACAGAAAACCTTATAGACCCTGCACCTAAGCCTTTCTATGGAAGGAAAAAGTCCTGCTTTGTAGTGTGGAGCTTCAGGTCGTGTTGATAGAAATCAGCAGTAAAAAACAAGAACACATTTTGCAGTGTCAGTAGCAGGGATGCCGAGAGTCAGTCAGAGTTGGGAGTGCTGAAACGAATGGTCTATAAAATGACACAGTACAAAATGTTGAGCTGTATATTCATAATCTGGGTGACTTACAGTAGTTAACTTTTTACATCAATTTTATAACAGAAAGCAAACTTGAACACCAATATAGGGTTTGTCATTGCAGCCACAGCAACTAACGGAGGAAGAGGGATCGTGACAACGCCTGGATGTGGGCGAGAGAGATGTAAAGCATATCAAGGTTATCATAGCTTATAGCAATGCCGCAAAGTGAGAATACAGCCAATTGATACAGGAGATGAGCATATATAAGATACTGTGTCTTCAGCCAGGAATGGACCTGATCATATGAGACAGCTGTCAGTGTTATCAAGGACTCCAGTCTACAGTTCCCTGAATACTATAGCATAATAATATCTATATCTCTCTGCAGTAAAGAAAAATCAAGGGCATTATTTGAGAATTTACAGTAACTGAGAAAAGTGTATATTGTGTGTACTTGAATATTTTCATTTTTTGTTACTTCATACTTTTGACTTAACTATATTTTAGAGGCAAATTTTGTGCTTGTTACTAGACTACATTTATTTTTATAACTTTAGTTACTAGTTACTTTTCATAACCAGTGAATAGTGTTCAGCATCTTCAGCCTGGTGGAGTGGGCCTGAAGACTCCGATACACACAAAGGCAGGAGTCTAAAGTGAGAGTGTGCGGGGTGGGAGGTGTCATCAGCAATGCTGATGGCTCTGCGGGTGTTGAAGATGTCCTTCTGCAGGAGGCAGAGGGGCACCGATGATCTTGCTGGCTGTTTTCACTGCATTACAGGGCCCTTCTACAGGAGCCAGTACAGGCTCTGTATCACACCGTGATGCAGCCAGTGATGATGCTCTCAATGGTGCCCCAGTAGAAGGAGCACATGATGGGGGGTGGGGCACTGGCTCTCCTCAGTTTGCAGAGGGAGTAGAGGCGTGTTTGAGCTTTCTTGGCCGGTGATGTGGTGTTGTTGGTCCAGGAGAGGTCCTCAGAGATGTGCACCCCCCAGGAACTTGGTACTGCTCATTCTCTCCACTACAGCATTGTCAATGGTCAGTGGTGTATGCTTTAGAGGTTTTCTTCTGAAGTCCACAATGATCTTTTTAGTCTTCCCCACATTGAGGGAGAGGTTGTTGTCCTTACACCACTAAGTTGGCACACCTCACTCCTGTATTGTTGGTAATGGGGACAACTACAGTCATGTCATCCGCAAACTTGACAGTGTTGTTGGTGCTGTAGGTTGGCACAGAGTCGTGGGTCAGCAGTGTGAAGAGCAATGGGCTGAACACATACCCCTGTGGAGCCCCTGTGCTCATCATGATGGTCTTGGAGATGTTGCTGCCAACCCACACATTTTGTGGCCTCCCTGTTAGCACCTAGTCCAGCACCCAGTTACAGAGAGAGGTTTTGAGTCCCAAGGGTCCAAGTTTTTGGTAAGCTGCTGTGGAATTATTGTTTGGAATGCTGAACTGCCATTCTGCTTGTTTGTTTGGCCCAACGTCTCCTCCACTTTAGTTTTCTCATCTTCATACAATTGTGTATCTTGGTTACAGTAGTGGCTCTTGAAGGCAATTCATACATGCAGTTTTTGGATGCGACGCAAATTATTTCAAGTAGGCCCTCATCCTCCACAATGTTAATCGGCCTGTAAGCTGTAGCCACCCACTTAGCTATTGCTGTTGTCCAGGTATCTTTTTTGCAAACTATCCAGCATGGTCTGCCTTTGGCGAGGGGGAGGAGGGCTCTCTACATCAGCTGTGTGCTTGGTCAGCAAGTGGTATTTAAGACTTGACATATTCCGGTGGTAACTCAGTTCAAATCAGCAGTAAATACAAATAACTTTAGTCCTGTCGAGAGAACCATCTGGCAGGGTTTTGAAACTGAACTTGCCATTCAAAAGACCTTTTTCTTTGTCAATTTCTGCTCATTTCTGCTGCTGCATCGCTTCCTGAGTTCCCAAACTATGCGGCAGACTGAGGGCCATAATCGCACAATGTGTGTGTGTTAACCACATGTCAAAACAATTAGTGGCATTAAAGTGAATTTGTGTTAACTCATTATTATCATGTTAACTTTGACAGACCAAATTTTTATCTATTAAAATCACAATTTTTTCACTATAAGTTCTTTAATTTTTTAGAATCAGCTGTAAATTTTAGTTGGTATATGAAATATTGTCAGCTGAAATGACAGCTGCTACTGAATATTTTAAATATCCAAGTACACATTTCAAATTGCTAGAGCTGTGATTCTAGTTATAACTAACATAATTTGTTTTTCACAAACTACAAGAGTTAGGGTTTTAATCAGCAAATGTGATTTTCTGACCTAAAACAATGACTATCACTGGGAAAGCGATTCATCTATATCTTTATGTCTAATGCCTATTTACAGTATATGGGAGCTGGTTTGGTTAATGGTAGGCTCTCTAGATGCTGTCAAAATAGTCACTTTGAAAAAAATCACAATAATGTGTAATTTTATGTATGAAAAAATAGACAGCTTGTCTCTTTGTTTTTCAGAACACAGTGAGAAATCTGGCTCGAGACGGCTGATCTGAATTTTTAACTATGAGTCTAAATAAGCAGGGACTTGAACAGTAATTGGAATTTCCTAGTTTAATTTTTAAAGTGGCACTAAAATGATTTTACAAAGGTTATGGTGACTCCTGCTCTGCCTGTGAAAACAGCTGTATAATGTTGCCTTGTTACTTATGAGAAAATAACTCAAGATGATACCATGTGATGTCATCAAGTTTATTTGGGAATGTGGACTATAAATTTAGCTTCTTTGATTCTTTTTTTTTTCCAACAACAGCAATTTACACCATTTTATCTGAATCAACCCTCTGGAAAAAGAGAGAGGGAGGCTTGTGTTATTGCTGCAGTCAGCATCCAGATTGCTTTCAGTAACACATGTCAGAGAACTTCATCACAAGGGGGGGGGGTCAGCTTTTTTTTTTTTTTTTGCAGGAAACAACACATGTACATACAAACAGCTGAATGCTCTCTCTCTCCCTCTCTCTCTCTCTTTCTCTGACACACACACGCACAATTTTCTGCCTCCCTCACGCTCCAGTGATCGCAGTCACGCTGACTGCTGGCTTGCCTCCACACATACATAAACGCACACACTGACTCTCTCTCACACACACTGAGTCACACACACTGCAGTAGAGCTCTCTCTCTCTTACTCTCTCTTTCCCCCGCTCTCTCTCTTGGCCAGTCCTTGTCCCACCTTCTTGCGAGCTGAAAACACTCCATGGTATGGGACCGGCTGCTGCTTCATTTGAAGCTCCATCTCTCTGCTCACTCTTTACCAATCATTCTTTCGCTTTCTTTCTTTCTGTCTCACTCACTGCTCATCCTGCTGCTCTCTCTACCTCACCGCTCAGATCAGGGTTGTGTATTGTTGGGGTTGAGGGGGTTTGTGTTGTCAGCTAAAGAAGGGAACATGCAGCATCCTGGAGGAACATGCGTGGCATTACCAAACGTGGACGCCTGCCCTCAGCTGTCCTGTGCTGCCCTCACTTTCATGTATTTACAGCAGGTGAGTGTGTGTGCCATTTTGTCTACATTCATTTACATCTTTACTCTATGTGCCATTATCTGCTGCTGCTGCTACTACTGCTGCTAGACATTGGATGTGGCATGGAACAAAACAAACTGTGTGTGTGTACTTCCAGGGCAAAACAAGAGAAATATAAAGTGTGTGTAAATACGTAGTGCCAGCTATTGGCAGTTTGAGAAGCATCACTCCTACTTGTCCTGTGTACAGTGATGCAGGGGCTCTTGTATCCAGTGAAAGTGAAACAGGTAGAAATCTACTTCCAGGCAAGGTTCTGTGATGTTCACAGGGATTGGGACCATCCTGTTCTGTATTCTAGATTGTTTATAATCTGTAAAAAGCATAAAGTTTAGCGCAATGTCAACAAGGTACACCTGTGTGTGTGTGTGTGTATTAAAATCATTGTCTGATTTTTCATATAGAACAGTTTTTGAGAATACATAAAGTTCACAGTGCTAGAATAACAGTGATTTCATCTTTGAGATGCTTACAAATTATTTTAGCTAAAGAACAACCATATACTTAAAGTACATTTTTGACAAGTTTGAGATATGGACATTTTTCTTACTTTTTTTTTCTCACCTGATCCTAATTGAAATTACAATACAATTTTACAATACAAGACTATCTTTTAAAATCCTTACAGAAAGCAAAATTAAATAAAACAAAACAAACAAACACACAAAAAAGCCCATAAATAATTGGATTTGATTGTTGTCCAAACAGTTTGAGAGTGTCAGAAGGTTCCCAGCTGAAGTTGGGTGATGTCTGGCAAAGGGTATAGTTAAGTAAAATTATTTTGAGGTTAGTATTTAAGTTAGAGTATTATTAGTTTGATTAATGATATATGGAAATCGGTGGTTTCCAGATTTAAAAAGAAATGTTTTCATTTTTCATTCTCTGTTTGAAAATGCACAACACGACTGTTTTCTACTTTCCGGACATGTTTCAAATCTAATTTCCAGAAATCAGCTTGCTTCCATACAATCTATGCTGTTCTGCATTCTAACATGTAGTGGGGAAAAACTGGCACTTTTTAAATGTAAGAATGAATTTATATATCAGAGGCTAATTGACAGCAGTAAGAAGTAAAAAACATTAATTGCAAAAGCATCTTAGTTTTCAAAACTGTTTAAATATTGTTGCAGAGATACTACTGCTAGCGATTAAACTAGCCTGTGAACTAAATTAGAAATATTTGTGTGTAAAAAAAAACATGCATATTTTATGTGTATAAAAATGAATATACAATCTGTTTTTCTCTGACTTAAGAAGCTGCTGAATGGAAACATGATCATGTCTGCAGGAACAAGGTTCACACTCTCCAGGCTGCTTCTTCTTTATACTGGTCTCATTTTCTTGATCACCACACAACAAGCAGTCATCAGCTGTGATGAGTCCAAGTAGATGCCCTAAACTGTTATACATCTGTCAGTGTGTGTTCCATGCAGTGTAGTGTCAGACTTGTTGCAGGGACTCTGTCCCATTGAAAACAGCTGCACAATGAGCAGGAGCACATGAGCTTATTTACATTTGATGATTCAGGACAGGGACAGCCAGCACATCAGTGCAATGTATGAAGCAGTAATTTGTCATTACAAAATCAACTGATTATTTTACACTATGTGTCCTGAAAGTATAATTGGATATATTGCATTGAAACTAAAACAAAACAGTGGTCAGTTCTTTTATGTGGTGTAAATAAAAAGTCTAAATGAAAAAAATAAAAATAAACCAAATCCAAGCTATTTAAGTCAACGTATACGTAGAAATAGAAAAACATAATAAATAAATAAAAATAATAGTAAAAATGTAATTAAACTATAAAATTAGAGAAAAGAAGGCAGGTTACAGTAGCTGTATTTTGAGAGATATTTTGACAGTTCTAGGATCTGTACGAGCCATGGTCCCTGGACCTGCAGTCGGGAGTGGCCTGGTAGAGGAGGGGGTGTGAAATGATAGTTTGAGTAGGAGGCAGTGTTTTGGTCATCTGATTTAATTACAGATTTAACTATCAAGTTATGGTAGGTAACATTACATTAAAAAAAAAAAAACATAGAAAGGCAGTCATTCCTGAATTATACTCAAGTTTTAAAAGGCGATAAAAAAACATATGGCTTAATATTTTGATTGACACATTTTCACCCTGAGCATTGTTTCATTGTTTGTTGTGTCTTGTTGCTTTTCTTTCTTTTCTTTCTCCTCTATCCACTCACCCCAACCGGTTGAGGCAGAAGGCCGCCCACCAAGAGCTGGGGTCTGTCGGAGGTTTCTTCCGTTAAAGGGAGTTTTTCCTCCCCACTGTCGCCAAGTGCTTGCTCAAGGGGGATTTGTTGGGTTTTCCCTTTGTAATAATAGTGATAACAGTAAGGTCTATACCTTATTTTGTAAAATGTCCTGAGATGACTTTTGTTGTGATTTGGCGCTATACAAATAAAATTTGATTTGATTGTACATGTTTTAGATGTTACAGATTTGGCATAAACACACTGTAAATGTTAAAAAAATACAGCTAGCAGTCTTAAGTCTTTGTCATTATTATTGTGTTCTTTGCTATTTCATTTGCTTGTTTTCATCTTCTAAGATGTTCAGGCATGGATGAACACATGTATGCTTGTGTAGGTGTGTTTAGAAAAAAATACCAATAATTTTGGGTTGTATATGCAGATAGTATAGAATTATGCTTTTATATGAGGCTTGATTTACAAAGTGATCATATCTATTTTGATGTATTTTGAAATTTGATGCATTACATCCTTTATTGTAATTGGAAAAAGTGTCGTAGTGTAGGTAGTGTACGAAAACCAAAACTGAAGTACTTGATGAAAAAGACATTGCAGAAAAGGGATCACAGGTGATATTACAGAAGCCAGTGATACTACTAATAATTTAGTAAACAAGTGTAAAAATGTTCTCATCTCCCACTGTGGCAGAGACAGAGAGGCGATAAAGGCCATACACATGCATTTTCATCAGAGATGCATTGTATATAATCCCCAGTAAACAAAAGAAAAGTTGCATGAAGTATGCAATAAGTTCCTGATGTTGTTCACAATTAATTCTTATTTTAAAGTGTTAAAGTGTTTCTTTCTGACACAATGCAAATCATTTGCCATTTGGCATCAAACCCAAGCTCTTAATATACTTTACACCTGGCAAGGAATTACACTTTTTATTTTCAAGCACATTGGCATTGTGGGCCTTCTGCCGCCGCATCTGGAAAGCAGAGAAAGAGAAAGGATATGCAAAGGAGTGAATAAGAAGAAATCAAAGTGTGACTGAGCAAAAGCCTGAAGCAGAGGAATATTTTAACAGTGCTTAGGGATGAAAGAGCTAAATGACGAGCAGAGAAAATGACCTGCATTCTGACAATTTGTCATTAAGCAACTTTCTTCTATTAGTCTCGTTTCTTCATGCAGCTCTTTGTGTGTGTGTGTGTGTGTGTGTGTGTGTGTGAGAGAGAGAGAGAGAGCAAGAGGGAGCTTTTGTTTTCAGATTGCAGTATTCCAGACTGTGCTAATGTGTTGGCATGTTATGCCAGAGCATTGTGTGTGTGTGTTTGCGTGTGTGATTTCACAGGGAATCTGGGTCTTTGAAGCTATATATAGTTAAGCCGTGTAAGATATTTTGCATACATCTGAAGGCCTTCAGGGATCCTCTGTGTGTTTGTGTGTGTGTGTGTGAGCACACGCATGTGTGTATGCGCCTATGCTTCCATGTGGATATATATTTTCGAACAGCAGTGCACATTACAAGGGTGATCTCTCAATTTATTTGAACGCATGCATTAAATGGTTTTGTTCTTTTCAGAATATCACAGAAATGCATGAAATACACACACACACAGCCTTTAATTATGTACACACACTGTTTTCCTGATTCTTGCATGTTTATGAATGTTGTTGTGGAAAGTCAGTCTTGGGTATACACTCCCAGCCAGTTGCAGAGAAAAGACCGTGACAGTCCATGAGGAGAAGAAGTGATGATGTCACGGCAGCACTGCACAGTACTGTTACATATGATGGTCCCAAGACTTGTAGAAAAAGGATGATAGGAAGAATTTTAGCATTGGCAAATAATAACAAAGTTTAATAACAAACAAAAAAATCAAGACCAGTCCTTTATAAAGAATATTAGCTATTTTGTAATAGTAATTGTAAAATGTATATTTGTTCCAGTCACTATGGATACTTTACAGTCTTTAGGAAGAAAATTAAAATGCCAAGAAAGGAAAAGATTAAAATAGATCATGGGGGTCATTTCAGCCATTTTAAAGCACATATACTGTGTTATATAGCTGAACATGGTGTCTACTGCCTGAAATACAGTACAATGCTGTCCTGTGCTGCCATCTTTCTGACTACTGACACTTCAGTAGCGCAGTGGCTAAATAAGTTTTTACTGCAATTGTCCATCTTTGTCCTGTCTCTGTTTCTATCTTGCTTGTTTGTGTGTGTGTGTGTGTGTGTGTGTGTGTGTGTGTGTGTCTAATTTTAAATCAAACCATTTCTATTTTTATATCACAGGGGAGATTTTCTGTTGTGATTCATCCTGGGGATGCAGTGACTATTTTTACACATCACTCCTGTTTTTTCATTGAAAAGAATTGCGCATATTTTTAGCTATAAATTAAAATATCACTTGTATTACAAGAATGAGCTGGGTGAATTACTGGTCATTGGTGTTCGCTAATAAGCAGTATCTACGTAATTTAAAATTAACTGCTTAGCTGATGCACCCACCTTAAAATTCAGTGCTTCGCCTCCCTAATCACACGTGTGCATTTATGATCAGGATAATTTTGTTTTTGGCAGTAAGACAAATTGTTATCGTGGCACTAATTTCCATGGCCAAGGCATACATTCTTTCTATATAGTTCCATGTTGAATCAGCAGGATGAATGTCCTGCCTAAGATCCTGACTGTGCAGAATCAGCTCTGTGATGCAAACCACATTGCTGATCAAAACATTGTAGCCAATGA